GCCTAAACAAGAAACCACATCCACACACGACTAATAATTATTTTAGCAGAAAAAATCAAACTATGTATGAGCATTAATTTTCCATGAGAGATGAGCAAAAAAATATGATCAGTAACAAGATCAAATCCAATAAACTGAAGAAACTTGAAAAGACTACACATCTAAATAGAATTCATCAGAGAATAAAAAACAAAAGAGAAAGAAAGTGACATTTGATAAAGCCCAAAAACTGTCTCTCTGCACAACAAAGAAATAGAGCTCATTCCATTTTGCAACAAACCCACTTTGCTCAAAACAAAAATATGCATTTTCAATACAACTTGGAACAAAACCTAAATCAATTCCATAAAAAAAGGAAGAAAACACTACTAACCATGTACGGCCCATTTCACGTTACATAAAATCTATTTAGTACACAAATTCAGTTTCAAGAAAACATTGCAAAATCAGAGGTGGGTCTTTTTTCATCAAAAACTCAAATCTTTTACAAATTTACATTAATAAATAACCATGTATAGCCAATTTTTAGATGCATTTAAATCCATCTAACAACAAAATAATATAACACAAGCATGCACGTATGAAATTCCCATGGTCGCTAATAGAAAACTTAAAACCCTGTAAAAAAGAAGGTCATAACCCTTGGAATGGTCGGCAACGGTTTTTTTTGGCGAAATTAGAACATCATATAGAAAATCATGGAGAGAAAAAAAATCCCGCTACTCGAACAGACTGAAAGACGTGCTAATATAGATTGACGTGGCATTTGCAAATTAAAAGAAAAGGAGGCATTTGAAAGAATTTAAAAGACAAACACACATCACTCTCCCACGATCTTTTCACTTTGGAAACCGCAAAAAGCCCCAATTTCTAACCCTACATCTCCGGTGTTGCCGTGTCTCCCAAAATCCAAACGCTCAATCTCTCGTCGTCATCAAGTACTTTCAGCAGAGATTCACCATCGCAAGACCCATAATATCCTTCGGTCAGCGTCAAACAACCGAACATTGCAAGCAAGTTGTACCCATCTGAAATAACGAAGTTTGACCAAACTAACACCTAGAGGGGTAAATAGGTGTTTATGCGGAATTTAAATTTACCAACTAAAATGCAACAAGTCATAGTTATTAATTAATCTAGATGAATTCACATGCACTACTATCCTATGTTGAATTACCACAGATAATAACTTACTGAAAAATAAATAACACTTGAAAATTATTGACGAAAAAACTCGGAACTAGGTAAAAACTCCAAGCCAAAGCCAGTAAAAATCCACTATAAACTAATCAACTTACAGTACTGTTAGACTCGACTAACTCTAGTACTTTTTGACTGTAATTACCAAAGTCCTTCTAGATTGCGTGCTCCTGCACCAACTCCCGGCCTTCTGAATTCGTCTATCTCCTGTGGATCAATGATAACTCCTCGTTTTCAAACAATCGGAACTCTGGTCACCTTCATTAACATTCAGAACTCTGACAGATGTTATGGAAGTAAGTGGTTTGGTGTTTGGTTTATATGAGGTTGATGCTTTTCATTGTAATGATGAAATCAACATGAAGGTTGAACTCTATGAATGATATGGATGAAGTAATCACTTGTTTCTCTCAATGTTCAACCTTGTTTTTTCAAATGGTGGCGTCCATATATATAGTGAAGAGGTTTTGGATAGTATGGGCTGGATAAGAACCTTGAAAAATGTGAATTAGATTTTCTCGGAATACATTGTCGCTCAAGCGATAGGCAAGCAATGGTGTGTCGCTCGAGCGAAGTCCGGTGACAGGCGAGCGATGCAACTTCTGTTTTTACCGCTCAATAATGCGAAATTGCGGCGACACTTTTCTTCTCATTCCATACTCGAACCCTATGACTTCTAACTAACCATTTAACATTTTTGACTTTTAAAACCTCTTTTACAACAATATTTTTGTCAAAAGATTGCCAACAACTTTAAAACCTAACAAACTCCCCATTTGACATTTTGTGAGAAAACAAGTATTACAAGTCAAACAGATTCAATCTAATCTACCCAAAACCAACTGACTCGGTTGATGTCTTCTCCTACTTCCACTCAAGTATTCGCAGGGGTTGCAATAATCCGACTAGTCTATGATGTTCAACTTTTACTTGTTCGCATGTTAAGCATTTCTCAACATGTTTTGCAATTTCTTTCTTCATACCAGGCCACCAATAAAGGGCCTCGATTCCGTGATACACTTTTGTTGCGTACCGAGTAAAGAGTGTTGTTGGCTTATGCTAATAGTTCCCAGCAAATTTCTGGATATTTTTGTACCCTTTATATGTAAGAATACCGTCTATTGATATTTTGCACTCAGTGTGTATCCCCGTTCTTGTTTTTCCTTGCTCTTGATATAGTATTCATCACTTTTCTGTCTTATTAAGATGCACTCCTTTCATGTTGGTTGTATAGTTAGTGCCAAAAGTTGAGCATTACCCGAAGGCAAGAGTTCGAGGTTAAATTTCTGCATTTCTTCTTTCAATTTTGATGGTTTCGAATCCGTCTTCCTACTTAATTAATGTATCAACAACAATGTTTGCCTTACCCAGATGATAATTGATGACACAATCACAATCTTTGACCAACTCAAGCCATCGCATTTGTATTGAGCTCCTTTTGAGTGAAAAAATATTTTAAGTTCTTATGGTCAGCGAAAATTTTACTTTTTTCGCTTATAGATAATGTCTCCAAATTTTGCCAGCAAATACTATCGCTATCAATTCAAGGTCAAGGATTGGGTAGTTCTTCTCATATGGCTTCAACTATTGAGACACCCCAGCCTATTTCTTGAAGCATCGCTATAGATCATGAATCATCCAGTATTGGAGGGTGCGATTAAGATTGGTGAAGTGGTTAGCCTTTCTTTCAATTCCTGAAATCTCCTTTCACATTTGTCATTCCATTTGAATGCTACATGCTTTCGCATAAGTTTTGTGAGTGGCATAGCAATATTTGAGAATTCTTCTACAAATGGTCGATAGTAGCTAGCAAACCCAAGAAAACTTCTGATTTAGGTAACATTTGCCGGTCGTGGCCAATTTTTTTACCGCTTCCACTTTGTTCAGATCTACCAATAACCTTCTCTAGTCACATGAGTCCCAGAAAATTTACATTGTCCAACCATAGCTCACACTTAGAAAATTTGGCGTATAATTTTTCTTCCCTCCGCTTTTGAAGTACCATCGTCAAGTGTTGCTCATTAGTTTTGGAGTACACAAGTATGTCATCTATAAATACCTTGACAAACTTATCTAATTATGACCACTCAATTTATTAGGTCCCTAAAGCTAAAGGCCATAGGTGTGTTAGTCAGGCCGAATGACATTACTAGAAAATCATAATGACCATATCAAGTGTTAAGAGCAGTGATAGGCACGTCCTACTTCTCAATTTTCAATTGGTGATATCCTGACCTCAGGTCATTCTTTGAAAATATTGTTGCTCCATGAAGTTGATCAAATAGATTGTCAGTCTTTAGTAATGGATACTTATTCTTAATAGTAACCCTATTGAGTTCTCGATAATAAATACACAGCCTCATGGATCCGTATTTCTTTTTAATGAATAGGACCGGAACTCTCCATGGTGAAAAATTGGGTTGTATAAAACCATTGTCAAGTAATTCTTGCAATTGAGATTTTATTTCCTTTAACTCAGTTTGAGCCATTTGATATGGATCTTTGGCAATAGGTCTCGTACTAGGGATTAGATCAATATTGAATTGTATTTCCCTGTCTCGTGGCAAGTTATCAGGGAAGAAATCAAAGAAGTCTTTTACTATTGGAAAAACTTCAATTGAGGATTTTCTTTCAACATCTATTTGGTTAAAGCAGATGAAATATGACTCGAAACCTTTGTTGAGGAATTGTGTGGCTTTGGTTGCAGAGATAAGGCAACCATAAGGATTTTTACTAAGAGTAATGCTACATGTACATTAGCACCTCCCAATAGGGGGCGCCACATGTATATTATGGACATCATTATGTGTACCATAATTTACATGTAGCAATCCGTGCCAAGAATGACATCATATTACTTCAAATCCAAATTAACTAGATTGGCAGGGAAATAATGACCGCCTAGTGGAACTAGAGCATTAAAAACTATTTGATTTGACTTTTGTAGTCCTCCTTAATGAATAGTGACTTGAATATCATCATGAATAGAATATGAAGATAATGTCGTGGTGGAAATAAAATAGTAAGATGCAAACGAATGAGTAGCTCCAAAATCAAACTGAGCGATAGCCATTTTACCTCCCACTAGTAACTCCCTTGAAATGACAGTAGGACTTTTTATCTTTTTGCCGACTTTTCATGGTAAAAACTCTAGTTGTAGCTGTGGATTGATCTTATTTGCTTTAGCTGGACAGTTTTTGGTCCAATGCCCTTGTTGTAGGTCACAAATTCATGTTCCTTTGAAACAATTGCCTCCGTGATTCTTTCCACAATTTGTGCACATTGGGTGTGTATTGATTTGTTTGATGTTGATCGAGGAGAGAAACTTTTTGCCTTCTCGAACTTGTTATACCTATTTTGGTTGTTGCTAAAATTTCACTTCTAAAATTCTCGTGCCAACACAATCTTCTGTTCGGCTGTAAGAGCTCAATCAACAATTTCAGCAAAAATAATTCCCTCGATTTATACCATTTGCACATGTCGACTTAGTTCTGGCCATAATCCTTCTAAAAATCGATCGAATTTCAGTGCTTTAGTTGCCACCATGTGTTGTGCAAATCGAGATAAGTCTTCAATTTTTCTAATATATTCACCTACTAACATGGATTTCTAGAGGTGAATAAACTCGGTCATTTCTGATTTGTGACAGTAGTGGAAATGTATTTATTTCAAAATAGTTCGCAAAATCACTTCCAAGTCATTTCATTCACATTTTCTAAGTGTTGGAGAGTATCCCACAAATATCTAGCAATTCTTCATAGCATAAATGATGCACAATTGACCTTTTCTTGTTTGGGTACATGGCTATAATTAAACATTTTTTCTATCGCCTTAAGCTCATCTTCGGCTTCAATCAGGTTAGTTGTACCCTCAAAGTTTGGTGGATTGAGACATTGAAAACATTCATTGACAATCTGAAAGGTGCTCTCGTTTCCATTTTGACTCATCAATCGTGCCATTGTTCCACCTGGGTTTCTACTAATTGTGTTATTCAATTAATAATGATGTTCACATTGTCATCCGGGTTGCGAGACATATTCCTACAATTATATTTCTCGTCGCATATTATTAAATCCATGGTTTTGTTAAATCAAGTTAATTTAACTTAGTTTTGTTTAATTTATCGTACATTATAAATTTATTAATAACCTCATTATAATCATTACAAAAAGAAATGAATAATCAATTTAATATATTTTTTCAAAAGAATGACAAAATACAATAAAATAATAGTTTTTACTTTTTATAAGACTTTAACTCATATGGACAAAATAGAATATTTGACTCAATCTATGTTACTTTTCTTTCAAATTTGTTCGATGAAGATTTCTTGAATCCATATAAGCCAAAAGTGATGATGTCTATTCAACTTTTTCAACTTAAACATTTTTTTCCATGATAGGCTTTCAAAAGCCTAGGAAATAACACTTTCTTGGAAATGAAAACAAATAAACAATGCATTCTTTTGCTATAGTTAATTGAAATTAAGTTAAATGAATATAATGCTTGACATAGGAGTTGATCGACCTCTCACATAGCATGTGAATCTCGACCTGAATTAAATAATGCTGACCTCCTCCATGTGTATGTGTTGTGTCATCTCCTGTGTTTGTGTAGCAAAACTCACTCACTCGTGACTAATTTTTGGGTCACTCTTTATAAATCTTGAGTTTGTTTGGGAGAGATTTTTGGGGGAAGAATTGATTTTGAATAGTGATATGATGGGAAATGTGTGGTTGAAAAAGAAAAAAAAATTATTGATGTGATGGAAAATATTATCTTATTGATAAATGTGAGGTAGAAATATGAGAATTAAAAAAATAATATGGCTCAAACAAGGACCAAATCTATTTGATGGAGAATGTGTGGTTGATAATGAAGAAAAAGTTATTGATGTGATAAAAAATATTATCTTATTGAAAAATGTGTGGTTGAAAATGAGAATTGATTTACTGTAGAAAAATCTAATCCCTCCCAAACAGGGCCCTTATATTTTGACTACATTTCATACCTCTTATTTCTCATATCTAAAAGATATATTTTCTTACTCTTCTTCCTCCTCTCCTTGTTTCTTACGAGTGTTGGAATATTCAAATATTAGATCCTTCTTCTAAATCGTTCTCCTATTTGTTATTAGATGTTTATTCTAGATTCTTCTCTTATTTGTTATGTAATTAGTTTGTTAGAAATTTACTCTATGAATAGAGCAATTTATTCACAATAAGAGTCAATCACGTGCTTCTGAGGAGCACAGTTCTGAAGCTGAAGTCTGGATCTTCCAAAGGATATGGAAGAAGTGGTTTGGGAGTAAAGATAGGGACGCGGACAAGAACAATATTACCAAACAAGATGAAATTTCTGTTGGAAATTTAACGGCTGAGGACAAAGATGTGATATCAACAAGTTTGTCTGCTAAATCTGTTTGTCCTGCATTATTTTCACGTTCAAGTCCTGAGGCCATTATTGATGAAAAAAAAGCTTGTGATTCAGATGCTGCTGCTGAATCATCCAGCCAAAGATCTAGTATATTCTCTCAGTTTATGCGATGGTCTAGATTTTGGAGCTCCCCAGACTCTGATCACGCAACTGAAGAATCTCGAGAAAATATTGAACAGATGAAAAATGATAATCAGAAGCATGATGTTTTTATGGAAGAGCCCTTTTGGAAGGAAATAGAGGCATTCATCGAAACATCCCAAGCTTCAGCTATTGCCTTGCAATCAAAGTCCAGGGACCATCTGGCACAAAATTTACAAAACAAGTGGCCACCAGTTCTCAGATCACTTCCTCTGAGTAATCTTCTTCACTTGGTGGACTTACTAATCTCTGATAAGAAATGGATCGAGGAATGCCACTCTCAAACCTATCCTTTTTTATTACTGCAGTTCAATGGCTATTGGAGTTTGCCTTGTCGTCATAATCCATCCAGTTTTATATTGCTGGAGTTTGTTTAGCATTTTCAGTTTTTCTTTTACTTATCAATGTTGACGATGTTTGTTTTCAGCAAATGCCCAATTTTAGAGCCATGATGCTCACTTATTCTGGTTGAATTATGTTGCTCTTTTTCTCTAAATTGCTTCTCCGCTGGACGTTATTGTCGACCACGCTTCTCTTGCATCTCTGCTCTTCTCTCTACAATTCAAGATGTTCCATCTTGAGGAGAGAGTGTTGAAATATTCCAATATTAGATCCCCCTTCTAGATCCTTCTGATATTGTTATTAGATGTTTATCTAGATTAGTCTCTTGTTTGTTACGTTGTTAGTTTGTTAGAAATTTACTCCATAAATAGAGCAATATATTCATAATATTATTTGAGCTTTTGATGAATAGTAAGTAATCTTCATATCCTCTTCATCAAGTTCCTTCAATATAGTTTCTATATTAAATCTAGCATTTTATTTTCTTAATAAGGAGGGAGAGGTTCATTAAAATTATGGAGAATATAGAAAATACTCATTTCTCTCGAGATTTTCATACTACTTATGCATTAGCTACATTTCGCGCCTTTTCAACTGTTCCGATTGGACCAGGCCATATGTAAAATATGATGATCTAGCATAAATGAATTTTCCTTATATTGCTTATTTTGAAGGTTTGGTTGATTATATTTTGTGGCTTTGAGACGTGATATTTATAATTGCGCTATACGGTTGTTTTACTGCAATGCTTGTACACATGAAACCCTACTTCCTCGTCCAAACTCTGAGTACTTCCTCACCTACTTAAGTTGCTCTTTTCTTAGAATTATAAGGAGTTCTTGTGTACAAGTTTTGGTATTCCAAACAAGGGTCTTAGATATTCCGATGAATCGGATTTTGATAGATTAGAGGCCAGCAAGGTTGTGTGTGAAATGTCAATGACAACACGTGTAACTCATGCTATTAATCTCCTTCCTCACAATAGAATTTTACACCTAATAGTGTCTACATTCATAAATCCTCAACATAGTCATCATTCTGATATAACAGAGGAAGATTTTCGGATTATGTGGGGCATTATTACGAATAAGCCTCCAAATTTGTGTCACATAATTTTGAGGAATATGATTCGTGGAACAATTCCTGGTAATGTGCGATATTACGGTATGGCCATTTGTGAAAGAATAGATGGATTAATTTGGAACCAAGGATTCCTCCAACTCCAATGCCTCCCCATACTAGTTTTATTGGGTTTGCCACTCTAGGGAAAATAAACTGTAAATTGGTAGGAGGAAAAATAATCTCCACAAAGAAGGAAAAATGTAGAGTTCAGGAAGAATTAGAGGGGTCTAGTTCTGTTGTGGAGAGCTCAACTATGGGTCGGTTAGAGGCAAAACTAGATCAGGTATTGCAACTCCAAGAAGAACAAATAAGGTGGCAAATGAATTTACAAGAAGATCACGAGAAATGGCTGAGAAATTTTGAAGCTTGTTTTGCTCCAAGAAAATAAGTGCTATTAATTATTGTTGTTGTCGTTGTCGTTGTTGTTACTATTGTTGTATTGTTCCTTTTTAAAGCTTTGAAATATTATGTTCAACGTATGCTCACAATAACTTGACATATAACTTCAGTATTGCACTAGTTAGATTAATATGTAAAATCTTGAGTATGATAAAAAGAAATCCTTTATGTCTTCTGATAATTTATTAGAATTTTTTAATCATCATCATCATTTGTTTTCCTGTATATTTTAAAATAAATTAACATTTCAAGTTAAAACAAAAATCAACAACTTACCGAGAGGGGCTAATTCTTCCAGCCGAATGAGACACGCTGGGTGGTCTACAGAATCATGAAAACCTGGTTGCTCTGATATCATATCTTGTCATGACTAACTTAATCTTTAATAAAAATAAATAAATAATTATTTATGTTTTATGATTTTAATATTAAAGCAATAAATCACGAAAGTTTAATATAATAAACCACGTAAATGAAATATTTAAGGCAAGGTCAAACTATTGTTTGCATAGTGTCAAAAGTTAGGTTGCAGTAAGGCTTGGATGTCTACTAAAGCTTTGGTCAGTCGTGTTGCTGGAGTAAGCGTTTAAGTGGTCCCGTTGTATGCTTTGCATTGCATCAGTTTACCTATAGCATTCTGTTTTCACTAGTAAGATTACTATTTTCTTATTACTATTCAATTATGTCTTTTGTGTCAAATTGGTTCGGTAAAGGTACTGGTTCAAATAATAGTGGAGATAACATTTCAAATTATTTTCAAAATAATGATGAAGAATTAGATCAAAATCATGCATCTGCATCAAATGATTTATTTTCAAATCAATAAATTAAAAGGTTAATATTCTAAAATTCCTCCATATTATCCTCAAAATATTGTTCCTAATTTGCTTTTCAAAGAAAAGGCAAATTTTCAAATTTGAATGGAATATTGATGGTTTTAACAGAATATCAAATTGTTCAACTCTTAGAAGTCATGTCTATGTGTTGGAAAGCATATAGATCAAAAAATGTTGATCCCAAAACTTCAACTTTAAATCTGGTTATCGATGAAAAAATGTTGATCCCAAAACTTCAACTTCAACTTTAAATTATCTCAACTTAGAAGAAAAGCAAGAGATTATTAATTCTCAAAATAATGAAACTAGAGAAAATGATAGTTTCTCGGTCCTTATCTAAGTATCATCAAACATTTTATCGAAGTATCTGTTGATGTAATGAATCGAAAGTTCGAAATTCTCATACATCTTCAATGTTCAAAACTTCATAATTTTCAATAGTATAAAGACATGTTTTTAGTACGTGTCTTATTACGTGAAGATTGTGATCAATCCTATTGGAAAGAAAGATTTATAGTTGGACTTCCAAAAATCTTTGCAAAAAAAGTGAGAACTTCAATAAGAGGCCAATATCAAGAAAATATTCCATATAATGAACTTACATATGGAGAAATTATAAAGAAGGTCTTGCACTTTGCAAGCGGGGGAGGCATCATCGAAACTACGCAGGAAATTGTATCAGTGCTTTCTCAACTTCATATGGACAATGTATGATATTAGAGGCGGAACTCAGGGCTATTCGTGATGATATCCTATTGGCTAGAGAACTTGGTTTGTCAGATATTTGGGCTGAGGCAGATTCGACTGTTGCCATTCACTGCATCACCAGAGGTGGCGGACCGTGGCCTATCCAGATGATACTCAGACAGATTGCAGATTTCGTTTCATTTGATAGAGATATGGTCTCCCACATCTTCAGAGAGAGATGAACCAAGTTGCAGATGCACTTGCTACCGAGGGTTGGCATCATCGTAGATATCAAGATTATGGACTAGCCGACCTACCACGACATATCAGGGCGCTTGTTCATATTGACATGTATGGTTTGTCCAGCACTAGAATTTAGGCATTTGTATTTTGCTTTTACTTGTTCTTTTTGTAAGAGAAGTAGTAATCATTTTTTACTACTTTCCTTTTATTCTTTACTTTCGCTGTTAGGAAAGTTGTGCTTCTTTATTTATTGATTTCATTGATATCATTTGTAATCACAGCACAGTATTCCTCCACCACAAGTAAGGACATTTTAATAAAATCTCGGAGGTACCGCCCTCCTTCCAAACAAAAAAAAAAGGTCTTGCACTCTGCAATGATCTAAAACTTAAAACCAAATTAAAAAAAGAAAGATCTAAAAGTCGTAAAGAATTTAGATCATTCAGTGAACAATATGGCCTTGAGAAAATAATTCCTCCTCCTTGAAAATTAGAAAGAAAAAGTTTTCCTTCTTACAAAAGAAGAAAAAAATTAAAAAAGAAACAATTTTCAAAAACCTTCTTAGGGCTTGTGTGGGAGGGATTAAAATCAGATTAAAATTGAAAATATAGCCGTTATTGTTGACTTTTATTAGACGAATGGGGCCCAATAACGGCCATATTTTCAATTTTAATTGGCTTTTAATCCCTCCCGAACGGGGCCTCATTAAAAAAATTATTCTAAAAAGCGATTTTCAAATAAAAAGTTTTCAAAAATTCTAATGTTACTTGCTGGAAATGCAAGCAAACAAGACATTATCCCAATAAATGTCTTATGAAAAACAAGATTAATAATCTTCAAATAGATGAAGATATTATTAAGCTTGAACTCCTCAATTTTATCAATTCGATAGAAGAAGAAAATTCCTCTAATTCTGAATTAGAAATAGTTTATTAACATCAAGAAGATTATGATGTTAAGTCTGGTTCTAATTCATCTTCCTCCTCTTCAAATCAATTTAAAGAAATTGATGATTGTAAAATCATAAATGTTCTTACCAAAGAGGAAGAACTTATTCAATAAATAGTTGAGAATATTGAAAATCGTCGACTAAAGAAAAAATTCAAATCTCTTATTCTTTCAAAATTTGATGAATTTGACGATCCTCATAGTATTAAAAATATTATGAGTAGATTTAAAGCTGAATCTTCGAAATTTTCCTAGTCATCTAGTTCTGATTTAAAATCAGAAATCAATGAAATGAAATCTCAAATATTTATTCTTCAAAGTCAAATGAAAGATGTCAGAATGGAAGTAGTTCTCTTGAAAATCAAACAAGAGAATCAAACCATTTATGATTCTGAATCTTCTTAACAAGAAGAAGTCTCAATCTTCAAAAGTTCCTCAAACTGAAGAAGAAAAGATTAATGTTATTAACCGCATTCAACTTCAGAAATGGTATTGTCAAATGGATATTATTATCAATAAAGATTTTAAACTTCATACTAGAGTCTTAATTGATTCTGGTGTAGATCAAAATTGTATTAGGGAATGATTAATCCCTACAAAATATTTTGAAAAAATCACTGAGCGTCTTTATGGTGCTAGTAGAAAGAGATTGAATATTCAAAAACTCATGTTTGCAATTCAAATATCTGTTTTAAAAATGTATTTTATCTTGTCAAAGATTTAGACCAAGAAGTAATTCTTGAACCACTTTCATTGTTCAAATCTA